TCTAAAAGCAAACTTGAAGTGAAAGTTGCACGTAACCTGTCAACATCACCAATGGGCTAGTGGCCTAGCAGTGTCAGCCTCTTACTTCCCAAAAGGAGGTTAGGGGTTCAATTCTCAAAAGAGACAAGTGTGTGTGAGTACTAAATAGGAAAAAAAACCTGTCAACGTCCACTTGTACAATAAATCAGGTAATTTCTTTTCATAAGTATAGGATAGGGAAATGAACTTCATACGTGAATATATATAAGTGTAAATAGGAATCTAGTGGTGCAGAAATTATATATTTGTTAAAGAAAACTTTTTCACCACCGTTACACAATATTGAAATTAGACAAAATCTTGGTGATACTAAACTTTTATATGTGAAATATTGCATACACAGGTAGCTTCATCCTTGGTAAATATGTCAGCAATTTAGTCAGATGAGCACAGAGACAGAACATAAACAAAGCAATAACAAATCTAATAATAGCAAAGAACTCCATGTCCCAAAATAGTTGTCCCTTTTTAGTGATTCCAAGCTTTTATAGGGCACGCATCTTTTTTTTTCTAAAATTCCGAAAGTAATTTTCAAACCATAAGGAATTTTTAATTCTAAGGAAAATTTTGTAAAGTCATTTATTATTTTGAAAGTAAACATTATTTTGGGATATTCCAGAAAGGACAGAGAGACAACTAGTGTGGGACAGTTTGTGGAATACCTCTATATGATTTGTATGTGTATGAATATTGTAGCAGCCAATTAAATGGCCCCCATATTGTCAATATACAGCAAATGGGTGCTGGGAAATAATCACACAATACTTAGGAGATTCACGTGGGACATAGGAGAGAGCTTTGTACATAGCCTTAGTGCTAGATTGAGCAAGACACTGCATTTTAATAGAACAAAAAATGTGTGCACATTGGTTGATTGTCGAGTACTGGATGCATATTGGTATGTTTTCAAATGCAAACATTCCAATTGCAAATTTAAGATTCCCCCCTTCTCGTAGTAATGACTAATTTAGGATTGCAAAACGGTCACTATTTGATATTTCCATGCTGTCAGTTTTCAGTATTCCTTCATTTCCACACAATAAAGTTTAGATTCACATTTAACTATAGTCTTATGTGAAAACGTACCCTTAAATCTTAATTAAAGTGTCATGAAAGCAAATTTAAGCCATATATATCTTGATGCTTTAAGGGTATGTTTTCAAATGCAAACATTCCAAATGCAAATTTAAGATTCCCCTCTTCCCTTAGTAATGACTAATTTAGATTACAAAACGGTCACTGTTCGATATCTCCACGCTGTCAGTTTTTAATATTCCGTCATTTCCACACTCCTAAAGTTTAGATTCACATTTAACTATAGTCCTATGTCAAAACATACCCTTAAATCTTAATCAAAGTGTCACTAAAGCAAATTTAAGCCATATATATCTTGATGCTTTTAAACCTAGAAGTTTCAGAAAATAACCATAAAACATCCTTGATTAATTATCAGAAGACTAAAATATGTTTGTGCCAAACAACATCGTAATCATTTAAATGGAAAAAAGAGGAATTCTTAAAAGGGTACATTAACATGAAAAAATTAACATGATTAAATAGAATTCATTAAACCAAGCACATAATAATTTATAAGGGAAAACAAGATGAATAATATGAGAGTAACAACCTAGTAAAATAGAATAACCATTGATGAAAGCCAAAGATCTTCCCTCTCTAAAAAAACTCCATTTTAGTGTGATGTTTCGGGAAAGAGATTGTTGGTGTGTAGACGTATTTTGAGAAAAATCTTGACCACCACAAGGCCATTAAGAGCCTTGTCAAGTTCTAAAAAAACTCCATTTTAATGGATCAAATTTTAGCAGATGGTTATTGTGAAGAATATAATTTATTTCTCTCAATAATTGTCATATCAATTCCAAAAAATTGATCATTTTTCTTTTCCAGGTTTAGTCAATCTCCAATGACCTTTAACTCATAAGTAGCATCTATCAATGTACAATCATATTTACTCAGACCCTGGCTTAAAAGATTGTGGCTTACTGACTTGACATTTCATGAAGCACATTTAGTTGTTAAAGAAAAAAATGGGATTTTTATTTTATTTATTTCTTTTTTATTAAGATTCAAAATCAGAAACATCATTTAAAAAAATAAATAAGACCCACGTAAAAAATAGATTTTTCCATTTCACCTTCTCTTTTGGTTGATCGAGTGAACCATCCCATTTCTCCATTAACTCCAACATGAAAGCACCACAACTATCCCTGAATAGAAGATTATTTAGGTATAATTCAATTATAATTGTGAACATAATCAATACACAAAACCAGAAATATTAAGTGATTTGTATCGGTTGAATTTTTGTTTAATGATTTTTATTATTTTTTTATTTTGGGTGAAAACTGTGCTGCCACGTATACAGAACCGTTTATAACAAAAAGTTAGAAACACACCACTCTCTCTCTCTCTAGATTCAACAGAATGGCATTGAGAGGGTTAGCCTCAATTGGAAGACAAGCAAACCCAATTCTTCTCTCTATCCCTCGCTATCTCAGAACTAGACACCATGCCTCTTCTTCACACCCTCTTCTTCATAGAAGCCTCTCATATAATCCCAATTTCCAAATAGGTAATACACACACACATATATACTACACCTATAATTTTCATTTTAGGTTACAATTGTGTCATATATATATATATATATATATATATATATATATATATATTCATTTCTATATTTTCTCTACATTACTCACTCTAATTCTAGTGATTTGGTATTAAATATGTTGTTTTGTGGTTTTGATAAATGTATTTGGTATTATGATATTAATATTTTTAAAATTAGCTTTTAATTCTAGTAGGGAAAGAATAATATGAATTTTGCTTTATATTGGGGCTATTGAGTTTTTTTGTTTCCTTGTTGCAGAATATAAATATTCAATTCGCGCAATACATGAACCAACTGTGGAAGTTGTAGCTCCCAAGAAAGAAGATGATGATGAACAATCGTCTCCAAATTGGAAGGTTAAGATGTTTTATGACTGTGATTGCCCATTTTGCATGCGCGAGGTTTGCATTTTACATTTTATTTTCAAGTTTTTAATTTGATTCCATCTTACTGTTATTCATGAATTGGTGTTAATTTGAAAAAATATTTATATAATTATATGAACAATGCTTAGCTACTCAACGGTGAGTAGCTTCACCCTACTCACTCCTTAGGTGTTCTAATAACAAAATTACACGTTAATTTTAAAAATAAAATCAGCAAAATAAAAAATAAATAAATAAAAAAGAAAAATGTTGGATCGACCCGTTTTACTTACCCTTTCTCTCCTCCCTCTCTCTTTCATACTTCCCAAACCCTCGCCCTCGATGAAAGGTATAGGTCTGCTTCTTGGCCTTCTAGAGAAAGATCATCAATTCATTCATGGTAGTTAAGAAAAGTGCCTATAGGGGGGATAACCACCTTTCAGACAGCTTGACTAAAGAAACCCTATCCACCTTCGATCGTAGCCAATCTAAACCAGAGTCAACCAATCATTCTCTTTCTTTCATCACGGTAGTGGGTGTACCGATTTTCAATCCCATGACAAAAATGAACCAATCATCTAAAAAATAATCAATTCAAGAAAGCAATCCCAATCGGGGGAGCTACCAGGCATGTACAATGAAGTGAAAGGAGGGCATGGGTTTGGGAAGTATGAGAGAGAAAGAGAGAAAAGAGAAAGGGTGATTACCCAATTAAAACGAGTCAATCCGACTTTTTTTTTTATTATTATTATTTTACTGATTTTATTTTTAAAGGTGGCGTGTTATTTTATTATTGGAACACCTAAGGAGTGAGTAGGGTGGAGCTATTTACCGATGAGTAGCTAAGTATTGTCCTAATTCTATTACCAAGTCAACATGTTAAGGGAGCGGAATGAGCGCTACGGATCAATCAAGTTTGTTGACATAAGTTCAGATGAATATAGTCCAGAGGAGAATCAAGGCCTTGACAACAAAGCTGTATGTTTAATAATTAAAAATTATAAATAAAAAAAATTTGAATTTTTGTTGTGGTACAATGCTAAAAGAATACCTGCATATTTGAGTGGTGGAATCAAAAATTTGGTATAGAAAGAGTAAAAACATATAGAATTAGAGGGCATAATATAGCTCTTGTCTCTTTAAAAAAAAAAAAAAAAAAAAAAAAAAAAAAAAAAACCCCTAGATGAAAAATCAAACATCCAATTGGGAAAAAAAATAAAAAATTATAACACTAATCATCTAAAAAATAAATGACATAGAGAGAGAGAGTACTTACCAATGCTAGAACAACAATAAATGAATGGGAGAAGGGGAAAAGTGCTTCGCTGGGTTACAGAGAGGGGGAAAGAGAGGGCACACCAATAAGGGTTAATCGTTGTTACAGAGAGGGGGAGAGAGAGGGCGCATGAATGAGGGTGAAATGGCTGTTACAGAGAGAGAGGGAGAGAGAAAGGGCTCTTCACGAATGAGATTTGAGTGAGGGTTAGGGCAGGGAGAGAGACAGAGATGGCTCTTGCACGAATAAGATTTCGGTGAGGTTAGGGCTCCAATAGGTAATGTATTGGAACATGGACAAGAGTATTTTAGGCAACACAGGAAATAGGAAGAAGGGCATTTTAGGTAATACAAATTTTAAACAGTAAAAATTCATCTGCCATATAATCAATTTAGTCAACCTCATTTTTTAAAACTATGGTACTTTGACTCAACCACTTAGTAAATATGGAGCCCTAAGCACATTTATATGTAAAAATCCCTATAACTAAAGAGGAAGTATGACGACCCTAGATTTTTCAACCCAGTGTGTCCTGTGATAAACCAAAAGAATGACCCGATAACGGATCCGAAATGCAGAAACGAAGGAAACTAAGTGGCCACTAGAGATGTACGTCATCCCTAAGGCATCAAAATGACTCCCCATGGCATGATCAAATTGCATTATATGCTATTGTGTGATGATGTGAACATACACGCAAGTGTAAAATGATATTTTAAACATGCTACAATGGCCCATGGCCTTATTACAACTCATTTACAACATTTGACATGTCAGACCTCCAAGTTAGAAAAATTACATTTCATAGACAAATCATGAACATGCTAACACTTGCATGTGAACAAGAATGTTTCTAAAGAAGCTCAACTTAGCAAATCACCCAAGCAATTGCAATCTCCAATCTTGTATCCTGTACCTGAAATATGCCCCAGTATCGTAGGGGTGAGTAACATAAAGCTACTCGTAAGAAATGAGCATGTATCGACCTACGTTTTACAAGTGTACCTGATTTAATCATTGTGGTTCATTCCACCTAACGTATATGTCAAAGGTGAGACTCAGGAAGCATCCTAGCTACCTAAGATCATTTCTAGCATAAAACACATCCTTTATGCAATTTCAACAACACAAGAGCATGCTACACATAGCAACAAGATATAACATGCTTACACAAAGCAACCAGATAGAAACACGCTTACATAAAGCAACTACATATAGATTCTCAAAGTTATCAACTTGAAATCTAAATGCTAAATCAACTAAATATAACAATTTAGTATGGATGTACTTAACAACATCAAATCGCCAATAGCTAAAACCACAGTCACAATAGAAACATGATTGATAACTTGGAATTGAATGCGAAAACAAATAGTGGAAGACTTGGACATCACGTCTCGGACTAAACCAAGAATAAATTGGTTATTCCGGGCATTAACCCGCTGGGAAGACCACCCTAATGCGCACTATCTCAATTGGGGAGAACTCATACCTCCCGCACTAAAGCCAAACTTTAGCTATATCACAGTACCAATGTCCCAAGACTCCAAAATAATCAAATAAGTTCACAACTTATACGTAATTTATATAATGCACTAAGTCACCTTCCATACACAAATAGATTGTATCCATACAACACATGCTCTAAATCCACAACTACTATAGGATGACAATGTCGAATCTTCAAAGTGCGATTCGTTACACTCTATAACAATATAATCCAATATTGAAAACATAAACTCATAAATTCATTATAAGTCAAAAATCATGCTTTAAACATACTATCAATGTCAAATACATGAGTTAATCAATAATACCATAGAAACGAAATTTAATCTATAAACTAATTAAATTCCCTAGGTTTCAAATCTCAATCAAATGGCCTCCAATTAATACATGATAAACAGTATAGCATGGTCATTACATACATCACATCAAAACTCGATTAGGCCATAAGAACAATAAAGTGAAATTTAATTAAATCATGATAATCAAATCTCTAACTTCTAAAACAACATCAAATGGTTCCAAATTAACATATGCTAGAACATAAGTTATAGTTATCATAAATATCAAGTTAAAAACTTAATTAAGCCAATGGAACCCTTAATTAGATTTTAATTAATCATTTTAATTAAAATCTCTAGATTTTTATACTTGTCTAAATGCTCTCAAATTAAAGTATGTTAAACAACATGCCAAGACATAATTTAAAAGCATATCACAAGTCAATTTCATGCAAGGTACGACTATGGGATTTAATCTTTCACAAAAGATAAATATTAAATAAAATATGCAATTTTTATTCAATCAATACCAATTTAATATATGTTAACAAACATATTAAAACATGATTTTCTAGCATGCCACAATTCAAATCAAAGTTATATATCATCATGAATTTTAAATCTTATACAAAGAAATAAAAATTATCAACTTTCTAAATTTGATACAAGGCATACATATAAGTTGTATAATCATGAGAAACATTCAATACAACACATATAAATCCTAAAACATTTCCTACCTCAGTTGGAATGAAAATCCCAATTACCACCGAAATGAAATCGCCCTAAATTTTTGGTCCGCAAGACAGATATTTCAGCTTGTTACCTTCAACTTAGGAAATTCATAAAAAATTCAATTCTAATCCAAATTGAATGAATCTAAAGCTCAATGAAAGGTTAAACATTGTAATTTGATAATATCAATTTAGTTTAACAAAATATTTTCCCAATTGAAACAGTTTTGACCCACAACTTTGAAACAAATTCTGCCCAGAAAACACATTTTCAGCCTGTAACTTCCAACTTTGAAAATTCATGAAAAATTCATTTCACATCCAAATTGGGCAAACCTAATTTATTTTGGAAGTAAACATATGAGAGTGTAAAACTGGAAATTTAAGTCATGATCCAATGTCTAAAGGTTAGTCAAATAAATCATCTAAAAATATGTTTTCCAGCTACAATAAAAACATGGACAGCAGATAGTCTCAGATTTTTAAAAAAATTTAGAAATGCTCTAAAATTGTGAAAAAATTCTAAGTAGTGTAAAATCCATGGGGAAAGTTCCAGTAAAATTTCAAGGTAATTGAAGCACCACAACTCCATATAAAAATTCGTTTCCGGACCGGATAAGAAAATATTTAAATTTCCAGCAATTAGCTTACAACTTCAAAAATTCATAACTAATTCATTTTAAATCCAAATTACATGAAACCAAAACTAAATGGAGGCTAATTGATTATATTTTCATGTTATATATTTAATTTGACAAGATTTATTTCAAGTTAAAACAGTTTAAGGGCAGAATACAAGTCTTTCTCTTCTATGCATGTAAAACACTCAATAATGACATAAAAATACTTCAAAATAATAGATCAATACCTCACTAGAGTTTTGAATCCCTAGATACCAAAGCAAAACTAGGAGTTAGGCTAGATCCTTCAAGGTTTTGAAGAGGAGGATGAGGGAAACAAAAAGTATTCCAAACTTTATGGTCTAAAGTAAGTGGAAGGGCCTCAAAGATCAAGGTCAATGCCTAAAGCTTCAAGCTTCATCCATGGAGGCTAGGTTTTGTGGTGAGGAAGAAAGATATGAAATGTGAAAATATGTGAGTGGAGTAAATAGAAATCTTCCACTCACTGTGTGATCCTACACCATGGTCAACACACACATTTATGGTCAATTGCACAAATACCCTCCTTTAAAACCATAATCCCAAAGTGGCTCAAAGATATTTGCAAGACTAAATTGTGAACCTACACTTGTCACTAATCAATGGCTCCTTCCTAGGCTTAATCCCACACCTACACTTGTCAACCATCCAAGCCAACAAGTGCACCAATCCTAGGCCAACAAGTGGGTGAATCCTCACCCTCCAAATGTCATCATCCAATGCATCAAAGTGTTTCCACACAAATGTCAACAAGTGGACCAATGAGAGTGTGACACTTGTCACACTTTTCAAAAATTGTAAAAAGGTCCTTTTTGAAAATATCTTCTAAATTTAATTACAAAATGGTCCCCAAGATGAAAAGTAATTACTTTATTTAATTACACTAAAACCCCACAAGTTAAGAAGAATTACACTAAAGTATACATTAATGCCCCTTTATGAAGGAAGTAAGAAATCAATATGCTTTTCTAGAAAAGTAAAAATACCACTGTCATGGAAATCAAATATCATGAATGCATGCAAAACCGGAATCAAATCCGACTACAAAAAGTGAAGTTGTGAAAGGAAAAAGGATAAACGAGAAAAAGACAAAATGTGAATAGTGTTCAGAAAAATAAAATATAGAAATGACACAATCCCTAAAAGAAGTTGTCAATCCAAGGAAAAGAGTCTCGGAAATCATTCCAGAGCACTCGAGACGACATCAAGTGATGAAAAACCGAACCCAAAAAGGAAAAGACAACGAAAAAGAATTATCCGGGAAAATCCGGGTTATTACAGGAAGCTTCACATCCCTTACTTGATGAACAGTGTAATACTATTCTCAATCTTCCATGATGCTCAGTGCTTGGTCTTCAATGATGCACACTGTTTGAGCCTGAGAACTGAAGTCTTTTCGTTAAACCTTCAGATTGCCAGCTTTTTATTGCTAGGCACTCCAAATGGGTCTTCACAGCTTATAGGCAAATAATAACACTCAAATTGTAACTAGTTTGGACAGAGGTTCACTAGTTTGGTCACCTGAACTTTGTATGTAGGAATGAAAAATGGTCAGTCTAAACTTAGCTGCCCTGATGAATAAGCTTTCTTGTTGAGGATTAGTTTGGCCAAAGTCACATGCAGGTCTCGGAGCTTACTGAGTTGTCACTAAAGAAGCGTGCATGTGTTATATGGTAGAACTTCACTATTCAGTTGTCGTCACCAGAGTTGCATGAACATGGAGCTTACTGTTAGTTCGCTGTTAAAGTTAGGTCGATGTGTCATGTAGCTTTGTATACTGGTTTGGCCAAGCTTTGCTGACTTTTGAAATCTACCTAGAAAACCAAAGCTCTCTCTCTCTGTTCACCATTAGGTAGGAGCTCGCCAAAGTCTAGAGTTGTTCACACCGTCACCAGAGTTTGCAAGCAACGACTTGGAACTCACTGTTAGTTCGCCGGAGTTAATCTCTATTAGGGTTATATGCCTACAAAGTCATTAATGACATTTATTATAGATTCTAATTTATTGATATTCATATATTAAAAAAAAAAAAAAAAAAAAAGTGGTTGGCTTTGTTTAACTAGTTTCCTCTTTGTGTAGAGGCTTCTCTGCAAGTGCAGAGTTTTCTCGCGTTTTGGGACTTCAAGTTTGTTTTTCTATCCTTCTCTAGTCTCAAGTTCTCTGGTTTGGGTTCCATGTTTTCTCCTATTATCATCAATGTACCTATAGAAGATCAAATCGGTTTACCGGCTTGGTTACACCGGTACTAACTTTCTACTGGGGGTTGTGTCGTTACTCGATTTTTATCATCGGCAATTTCAGCAAGTTCATCTTTGCCTTTCTTTCATTTTGATCCAGGTATTGTTACGGTTGTTTTATTCTCCTTTTTGGTGCTAAATTGCAATTTGTGTTGTTGTGGGTCTTGCCAACTTCCTTTGTTTCTTTCCATCCGAGTGTTTCCTCTCTATGGGTTTCCATAACGGATCTACTGCTAGATAGTGATGTGTCTCCTTCCCAAACCATGGAGTGTGAACTACAGATGGGTGTTATAAGAAACCTTTCAACAATGGGCAAGCTTTTGGTTTATGGAATTTTTGATGCTTTCTGGGATTGGCGGCGGTTTGTTGTAGCCATAGGTGTCTCCACTGCTCAAGTATCGCTAGCGAACATGTCCTTGTCATCTTGGGTTTTGGCGATCATTTCTTGTCTTCTATCAATGAGAAGTATTGTGCACTTGTCAAAGGCACTTATGACTTGGTCAATTTTGAGTGATAGACAAACAATGCTTTTAGGGTTACTATTTGTTCACGTGTACCTAGCTTTCTGCCTTTTCTAGATCCATGGCATTCTACTTAGTCAGTACAATGTTGGTCTACAATATAAAGGATTTGCCTTTTCATATTATGTTGTGGGGGTATGCTTAGTTGTACTTTGATAAGTTTGTATGTGGTCAGGATCACCGCCTTGCATGACTTAGCAAGGGATGACTCATGTATTGCTTTTATATTTTTATAATATGTTATATGTTTGCGAGGAAAAAAAAAAGATATTCATATAATATTGATAATACTATATTGGTTAAATCATGGGATTCTGATCTATGTAATCTATAGGAAATATAAATTTATTGGTATTCATAATTATAAATATTCGTGCTCGATCGAATAGAACTCGACATTCTATTTCATAAGTATACTGTTGGTTTTTAATTTGGTAGAAATACTAAGTGGAATAACTTATCCCAGTCATTTGGATGGGGTGATCCAAAACCAAACGAGTTGGGTGCCGGAAAACATGTGACAAGGTCGATCGAAGTGTTTTGTGTCGTTATGTGATGTCATAAGTGTAATGGAGAAGTCTAATATCCAATCGGACGATCTGATTGTCTGTTTTCAGTTTTCTATCATAAGTGGGTCCTACTTAGAAAAGGTCTCGGGAGATGGAAATGCCATTATTTTGTAGTGTCTAAAAGGTTGGTGTATTGAAAAGGGAGGGCAAAAATAGGATGTCTATCATTACAAAAAAGTGAAATTTTGGGAGTCTATTTACCTAGAGATGAAGTAAAAGGCAACACTTTTTTTAAGTCATGGACTTTGACAAAAGTAGGGGTGGCAATTCGTATTGACGAGTCGTGTTCGTGTCAACACGATTAGAGTTGACACAAACTTGACACAATTATTAATCGTGTCAAGACCCCTTGACACGAATACGACATGATTATTATACGTGTAACATGACATAACACGCGTAACCCATTTAATAAATGGGTCAAGACTTGATACAACACGAAATGACACGTTTAAGTCATTTTTGACATAAACATGACACATTAATTTATTCTACACGTTTAGCTAAATGTATAGGTCATTTTCTACACAAATATGACACGTTTAGTTAATCAAGTTAATTGTGTCATAATCGTGTTAGTAGGGTCAAACACGAACACGACATGTTTAGTTAACAAGTCAATCTGTGTCAACACGATTACGACATGAACACGATTAGCCTAAATCCAAACCCTCTTATTTCGTGTTATGTTAGCATTGCCGTGTCAAATATTGCCACCCCTAGACAAAAGCTTGACATGGATATAAATTTGCACTAGTTATTTCCTTAAATGTACCTCTTTTTGTTCAACTAAAATCCCTTAACTAGCCCTCTTTTTACAAATGTGATACCCACGTGTAGAAAAAATGGTACTTAGTTGAACAAAAGTGGTACTTAATTGTACAAATGTACTACTACGTGTTTCAACACTCGATTATCAAAAGGATGTGTAAATTTTTATCAGCGGTTGTCATAATGAGACTTTTACATACTGACATACAGCTGTTGTCATAGTGAGACTCCTACGTGCTAACATGCATTTATAGTATAACAGGTTATCAAAATATTAGTTCTCTTCTTGGTCACTAGTATTAAAATTGTTGTGCACAAAATATTGGTCCAAGTTATACAAAGATGGTACTAAGCTGCACAAATGTGGCACATACGTGCACAAATGTGATACCTAAGCGTATAATAAGTGACAATGAATTGCAACTTCTTCACGAGATGCAACACTCATGCAACGTAATATATATCATGTCACCTACTTTACAATACCATTAAATGTACAAAATAAAAAAATAAAAAAATAAAATTATATTGTGTACAGAATTGGTACCCATATTTGCAGAAAGTGGTACCTAGTGACACAAAAGTAGGACCTCAAAGTACAAATATGGTACTCATGAAATAAAATTATAAAGGGGTAGTTAAAAGATTTTAATTGAACAAAAAGAAATGCGCACTTAAAAATTCATGTCATACATTAAACTTTGGTCAAAATGTTGACTTTAAAAAGTGTTGAGTTTGACTCAGTCTTTTAAATAAATAGACTACAAAAGTCCAATTTTTTTTTTTTTTTTTTGTAATATACCAAAAAATAATAATAATAATAATAAATCTAAATTACATAAAGTGAGAGCGGGAGTGAGAATGAATTTGAGAGTGAAAACAAGAGAGTGACAGAATTAAATAATAAATAATAAAAATTTGAACAAAAATAGAAACATGCTCGAAACGTAAACGACATCTATTAAGAATATTATGCAACTTAGCAACAAACCCAACCCTAGGCCACTTTCGTCTACTCAATAGTATGAAAATTCGAGGAGCCTCAAAAAACAGAGCTAGTGGAGTTCTTTTCATTTCTCACTAACATGCCCTTAAGGACAAGAATCCTCTCCTGCACTGGAGAGGTCCTGCACATGGTTGGATTTGATGCAGGACCTCTCCAGCGCAGGAGAGAATCCTTATCCTGCCCTTAACTATATTGGATCAAGAATTTCAACACACCTATATACAACTAATTACCATTACTTATATCTCTATATGTATGAATCAAATGTATACAAAATAAATTCCAGTCACAACAAATTACCATATCTCTATATGT